TTTTGTCCCATTTAGATTTGTTAAAAAAGGTTGGTAGGTGTCTTCGTGAAGCAAAATTGACGATAAACGTGGAAAAAAGTAAATTCTGTTTTAAAGAAGTTAGGTATCTCGGTTACGTGGTTGGCAACGGTTGCATCCGCACAGATGCAAGCAAAATCGTCGCCGTCAGAGATTTTCCGGAACCACGAACCCCGAAGCAGCTCAGACGGTTCCTGGGGATGTCCGGCTGGTACCGTAGATTCATACAGGACGACGCGACTATTGCAGCCCCGCTGCATGACTGCCTCACGAAAGACAAAGTCAAAAGATTTACGATGACGGACGAAGCCCGGAAGGCGTTTGACCGATTAAAGCAGAGCTTGATTTCAGCACCTGTGTTAACGCATCCGGACTTCGATAGGCATTTCTATATCCAATGTGATGCATCAACGGACGGTGTGGGAGGGGTACTCTTCCAATTAGATGACGAAGGCAACGAGCGTCCGATAGCCTATGTTTCGGCAAAATTAAATAAGGCGCAACGCAACTACAGCATCACCGAGTTGGAATGTTACGCGGCGGTGCTTAGTNGCCTGAAATGGTTAATGAACCAGTAAGACTTGTCTGGCAGACTCCCAAGGTGGAGTCTAAAATTGCAAAGCTTCAATTTTGACATACAACATCGAAAGGGGTCCCAGAACATTGTGCCAGATGCATTATCTCGCGCCGACATGGAAGAAATTACGAAGATCAGCCGGATACTTGATGTATGTCTCGATTCGCCATTCTTCAAAACGGAAGAGTACGAAGAACTAAAGAAAACAGTAACTGATAACGCAGACAAACTACCTGAACTGACCATGTCGGACGGTTACGTGTATAGACGGACGCAGTTTAGCACGGGGGATAGCCTTCAGCAGGACCACGCCTGGAAGCTCTGGGTTCCGACGGAGCTGCGTCGTGGGTTAGTGGAATCATCACATGACTCACCGTCTGCTGGTCACGGAGGGATACACAAAACTTTAACCAGGATAAGGGAAAGGTATTATTGGCCGGGAATGGTGGCAGATGTTCAGAGTTATGTAAAAAATTGCGAAATTTGTAAGGGTAACAAATCCCAGAATGCATTTCATAAGCCTTTAATGCGGAAACAACACGTGACCGAGAGACCTTTTCGACGTTTATTTATTGATTTTATGGGTCCATACCCACGTAATGGTAATGTCTTTGTGTTTTTAGACCATTTCACCAAATTTGTGTTCTTGAAACCCGTGAGAAGTGCCACTTCAGCCAATGTCATACAATTTTTAGAAGAAGAAGTATTCCATATTTTCGGTGTACCGGAATACATGCACTCGGATAATGGCAAACAATTCGTGTCAGATATGTTTCATGCATTTTTAGCAAAGTACGGAACGACTCACATCAGGACAGCTTTTTACTCGCCTCAGGCTAATGAGGCCGAAAGAGTAAATCGCTCTGTCTTGCAAATCGTGGTGTCGTATATACGCGAGAACCAGAGGGACTGGGATCGGCACATCAGCGATGCCGCTTTTGATCTCCGAAGCGCAATACACACGGCAATTAATACCTCCTCGTTATGTGCCCTCTTCGGTATGCCAATGATACAGCATGCTGCATCGTACGAGCTATACCGAAGATTGGGTACGGTCGGGGAGACAGACTACGAGGTCGAGACCGTACAAGACAGGTCCCAGTTAATTAGATAAAAAATTATGAAAGAGCTGAAGTTGGCGTACGAGCGAAGCAAAAATGTATATAATACGAGAAGTAGGGAAGTTACGTTTCAAGTTGGACAAGTGGTATACCGCCGATATTTCAAGCAAAGTTCTAAGATAGAAAACTATAACCCAAAACTAGCACCAAAGCAGATTAAGTGTGTCATCTTAAAGGTGATTGGCAATTCAATGTATGAACTTGGTAATACTAGTGGCAAGAAGATCGGGGTATACCACGCTAAAGATATCTTTGTGGCATAGTGTAGTTAACGGTGTTGTATGTTGAATGTTTAGTGCATATACCACATCGTTTTGTGTTAGCTGTAGCCACTTGACATACATACATATGTTCGTAGCCCAGTGCCCTTAACTACTTGACAACTATCTAAGTGTATTTTATTTTACCACTTCACATCTTTATTATTTGTAAACCTTCTTCTGTGATATTTATTTGACTATTAATGTGATTATTTATTTATTTATTTATTTTTATTTTTTTTTTGATTATTTATCTATACGTATATATTTTTATTTGTATTTTCCTTTTATTATTTATTGTTTATTTTAATTTTTTTTATTACATGCAATTATTTACTTATTTATTTATTTATGACCCTTTTCCGATCTGTGATATAGACCTAAGTTGCGTATATGTAGAAGTAGTAGTGACCTGTGATATAGTGTAGATACATATGTAGATACGTGCATACATATACCCAGTGATGACCATAACATGTAGATAACTTGGAAGCCCGGCGTTTGGTCGTGGGTCGAGGCCACACGTTGGGTGAAGAAAGAATGAAGACTGGCAAGCTGCGTTTTAATTCTTTTACGCACACGCTCCATGATGCCGGCACCATCGGCGGTCGCGAGCCTGTAACAGCAGCCTTTGCCATGAGTAGGGGTGTTGGTGGCATGTGTGAGTGAGTAAGTAAAGGAAGTGAAAGTAGCCATAACCCTTTATCAACTCGACATACCAACTGAGGTGTGAAACCTGCTAACCCTGCGGTTCGATAAAGCAGTGGCGTGCGTGTGGGTGTATGGTTGCATGGTAGTAAATTGAGTGGCGGATCTTCGGAGATTTTTGAGTGGGTGCGGCATGAGTGACACGCTCGGCTAGCTTGGACAGAATAAATTAGAGCGGAGGAAGCCCGAAAATGTTAATCATAAAGTCACGGTGCCTTGTGAAAGTGTCGCGCGGGATAAGCGAAATTATCAAGTGTAAAGTGTGTGTGTGTATTTATATACAAAAGAAAAAAATACTAAAAGCGGTCAAGTACAAAAAAAAAACGGCATCGTCCTGGATACCGCCAGCTAAACCGGATCCTAAGTATATATATACATTGGTGCTCAAAAATAGCGGAGATAGAATAAATAAAAGAAATGGGTTCCTCCTGTTGTGCTAAGATTAATGCGTGACCAATGGAAAAAAATGATATATTGTTAGTTGACACTTGTGTGACTTCCTTTTGTTTTTTTTTGAAAGAAATGTATTCACCATGTACCTGTCACACTTAGTTGAAGTGCCAGTGAAGCGAGCCGAATTCGCAAAAATTATATACGAATAGAAAAAAAAAGTATGATAATTTTGGGGGATTACGCGGTTGAAACCAAAGGTATGGCGAATTACTGTATATACACTTATATATATAAATGGAAAAGGAGGTACTTATTGGTGCAAAATTTGGTTCGGCTAACATTCGAAAGTATCAGCCTATGAGCTTAGCTACGTACGTATGTGCACACAGGCGTACATATGTATACAAGTGTACACGGGTATGCGTATGCGAGCTTGTGGATACCCATATGCGCACTGGAGGAAACCCTGACGGAACACTGTCCCTTACAATTTGTCTAATGATTTTGTTTTTGCAGGTCGCTACAACAGCATACAACCTGCCATAGGACTCGCACCAAGGCACCAGTAGATGCAACAACCATATAGGGGCCGTATGACCTCCCTAAACATCTACCCTTAAGATGCATGTAAGTGGCGCGAACGGTCGTACTTAAGGGCGCACTTGCAACACTCAACACAAAGCATCACGGAAAAGGAAACGTTGACACACACACACACATAAATACGACACAACCTATATACATGAGCAACAAGTGCAGGCCCAACAACATCCAGCATATAAAGATCAGCTGTGCTGAATACCTAGCCGAGGGCAGGTTAACGGCCGCTGCACAAATCAAAAGTGCCTATTTACTCGCAAATACATAAGGAGCTGAAAACAGAGAGAAGCAGACTTATACTTACCAGCGTGGGAGGTTGCAGTTTCCAGTGGGCTGAATAGCAAAGAGCGGATTTGCATACAACCGCACATACATAAGCAAATCACGCCGCCGTCAGCAGCGGCGCGATCGCCACAAATGACGCTGAGAGAGAGCGGCCAGCAGCCACTACGTCCAGCAGCGCAGCCAGCCTAGTTATAGTTTGTTGTTTTTTTTTGCTTAACTTATTTTTTTTTTTGCTGTTTGCTTTATGCCTTTTTCCTTCTGCTCTTGAGTTTATTTATTTTTGGTTTGCATTCTTTTTTTATGTAACACACCATGTGCCAACATTTTAGATTTTCTACCTAGTTTATCGTTTGCCAGCATAATTCTTAAATTTTAACATTTAATTTTCGGTCTTTTTTATTATATGAACATACGCACATAGCCGGTTAACTTTTTGGGTTTTTTTTTGGTTCTGGCTTAACACCGGCACTCGTTTTTTTCTTTGATTTTCTGGCGGTCCGGTGTGTTTCGTTCCACACTGTAAAATTCTTCTTTTGGTTAAATTTAAATTTTTATTTTTTTTCTCAATTGTTTTTAAAATTTTCTAACACTTTTTATTTCGGGTTTTTTTTATCGCATCGCGTTATTTTATTTATTACTTGGCCGCAGAAATAGGCTGACTTCCAAAACGTATCAACACAATGTTTGGATACTATTATACTGCGGTTTTCAAACTGTTTGTATATGCAGAGTTGCGACACATTGCAACCATATACATTGCATATTTTCAATATTCCATTTAGCAATGGAAAATTTTTCTGAATTTTCCATTTTTAAAACACCAATGGTAACCAATAACAAACGAAGCATCAACTTTGTTTCTGATGCGCGGATTGCTCTAGCGATGCGTTTCGATAATTTTTCGGATGCGTTTTGGAACAGTATACGTTGTCAATATTTTGTAGTTCGGCGTTATGGAACATTATACTTTGTACGTATGCAAAGCAATTGACGTTTTGGAAGTCAGCCANAATTGACGTTTCGGAAGTCAGCCAAAGTGACTCGCTCGTCGCCCGCAAACACGAGCGAGTGATTAGGTGTTTGACAGCTCAGGCGTGCAGACCTCAGCTGTGACTCTATGTATGTATGTATATTGCTTTCCGGCCGTTTCCAGGGTCCTCTCAGTATGTTGGTACCATCGTCGTGGGACTACTAAGGTGAGTGGAAAAACAATTTGATGCCTATACATATATACATATGTTTATACATAGTACATATGAATACCTATTTCGGGGGTTTTGTTTTGCCTAACATATTTTTTTTGATATTCCTGTTCGCGGTTGCTTTACTTTTTTTTCTCTTTGAATTTTTCGTTTGCTCATATTAAGGGCATTCACGTTGTGTTAGCAAAGAAATAGGTAAACTGCTAAAGAGTTGGGAATTTAGATTAATAAGACTTCTTGAATTTGCCTGTTGAATTCATAATTTCCATAATTTACTTTTTGATATATTTTTTTTATGAATTTAGTTCGTTAGTACAGTAAGTTTTTTTATCATTATTATTTTTCTCTTTACTTTTATTTGTTCGCCTTCTTGCATTATAATTAGAAGATTGATTGAATTGCTCATTAGTGTTAGCCGAATTGAATTTGTATTTTATTTTTAAGTATCATAACGATTCTCCTTTTGAAAACAAATTGAAATTCGCGTAGTTTTATTATATAGTCAGTCCTATTTCCTTTTTTTTTTGAATTTGATTTTCATGATCATTTAATCATTTGATCATTTTATTTTATAATTAGTTATATATACGGTGAATAAATTGTAAGCAAATGAACAGAGGTGTTACGTATTTGTTATTTCATGGTTGAGGAGATTCATTTAAGATGAAGTGGTAGATTCGTTATCTTTGGTGTGGGTGTTACACCAGGGCTTAAGAGGGGACGTGAGGGCGTTGACTAGGGACTGGACTGGGACAGAACTGATCGACGAATAGACAGACGTACTATGTCAGGCTAAGGGGGCGTTGTAGCAACAGTAGGAGTCAGACCAACGACCATGGCTGCTTAAGCGAAAGACGCAAAGCGGGTGGGGCGACTCCACCTGACAGGACGGGCCTTCTTTTCAACTTGACTTTCCTTCTTTCTTGTGTTTGTTAGTACCGCTAGTACTGATGAGCAGGCATGATAATTTTGTTTACGCAGGGTAGGTAAGGTGGGCGAAAATAACCCCCCCTTCCGGCGAGCTAGCCTGGGCTTTGCCACCATGCCTGTGTACCGCCTTCACCTCTGCCAACTGACACCCACGTAACAGTATATTCATGGTGAAATAAATGTCACTTACATAACCTCACTTTTTCTGCATGCCAATTGCGGCCATGCATTTTGGGGTAGTAGAAAAAGGGGTAAAGATTATTATTATTTTTACTACTTTTTGGGTACTATTTCCAATACATACATATATCAGTGGACCCCACACCAGTTAAATGAATGCATCAATAAAATATTTTTTCTATAAACCAGTGTAATGATAGTTTCATTTTTTCGCTCAAAAGAAATTATTATTACTTAGTTTTTATTTTTTCGATCAAATATATTGATTTTAATAATTATTATTCAGTTTAATTTTTCTACCTTAAAATTATTTTTTGTAAAACTTAAAAGGCCACACGGTCGTACCACACACATATAATGATAGTTAAAACTTTAAAAATAAGGACTATTTTCCGTTTTTCATTTATTCATATTAAAACAAATTAAATTATACCCTTCTCTTTACTTAACTATTCTTAAATTCTAATAAAAATTACATATTAACTCGTATGGAATTTTATTTGTATTGTTTCCTTAAGTTCTGAAGTACATGTATNTTTCATTTATTCATATTAAAACAAATTAAATTATACCATTCTCTTTACTTAACTATTCTTAAATTCTAATAAAAATTACATATTAACCCGTATGGAATTTTATTTGTATTGTTTCCTTAAGTTCTGAAGTACATGTATATTAGAGTGGTTCATAAAAACACTCTTTTTGGAAATTCATAAACGCTACATCAGAATATTCTTATTTGTGGTAAAAAAAGAGACATGTATTTTTTTATTTCGAAAAAAAAGTTTTCTCAGAGGTCGCGCTGGTCGGTTTTTTATAAAAACGCTGATGTTCTATTTTTTTTTATTTTCTTGACATGTTAAAATTCAGGTAAAAATGTGGTTTTTGCATATAATTACTCTGGTATTATTGGGGAACATTCCCTTAATTACATACCTGTCTTGGGTAGTTAGAATGGGCCTAATGCCCGAAAATATGCTCTCGAAAAGAGACTAATAAAATTGAAACGTTGATACTGAACGATTTACGCGTTGTCATGGGTTGGCACTTGTTACCAGGGGGTTTCTGGGGTTGCTAATTATGAATTTGAAGTCAGTTTTTCGAAATTCAAAATGGCGGATCCAAAATGGCGGTCTTTTTATCAGTTATGTATGTTCACAACTTTTGTACCTGTTTGTCTATTTGTCTATTTTGATTATTGCTCAGTAGTCGCGCGCTGATGATGGTTGATCAGCTGTCAACCGAAATGCATACATAACTAAATAAAATACTAATTTGACGAAATAAATTACCGTTTTAATTTTTCGACATTTGCGGTCAATAAGGTGCAGAAAAACAATAATTTGTAGCGTTTATGAATTTCCAAAAAAAAATTTTTGAACCACTCTAATGTATATGCGTAATTAGTTTTTAAATATCTCCATTTTAAAGGGATTTTTATTACTACCCTTATTTTTGTTACCATTTTAAAATTACATTTCTGAATTCCATCAGTTATATTATAAAATAATTATGCGTTTAGATTGTTAGACCAAAGTGCATTATCGTAGCCATCCTAGGCACTGCTCCAATAATATGTTGGATATGTATAGTATATATTTTACCAAAAATTTGCTTACAAAATCACAATTATTGGAAATTATCGCTCAAATTTTCCAATGAATTTGAAACGAAAGGTCAAAGCAAAAGAGAAACAAAGAAAAAGTGATACCGGCGCATACTTTTTTCATTTTTTTTGCTCCATTTTGCCCAGAAATGAAATTGGAATAAATAGAGTAGGCATTACTGTAACCCTGGTATGCCGAAATTGCCAAAATTACAACAACCACCCCCTAAGTGACAACACCTTATTATTATTTCACCATAGGTATATTTAACTGTAATTTTTAAATAATTTTTTGAATTACTCATATCTTTCAAATTTCAAAGTTCTTTTAATATCCTGACGTCAGATTAAAAGCCTGGGTGTAGTCGACAATGAGCGAAAATGGATTGAACGGTAAACTAATAATTAAATTTATAGTTCAATTGTTTATTACTTTGTCTTTACGTTTGTGTCTTCTAAGTGTACATCGAAAGTTTTTATGAGAGAACCAATATGAGATCGTTGATAAAACTATAGACCGGTTTGAACAGCCAAGACGTTTACTTCTTAAGCAATTACAGCTTAAAACGATGCATACATTTTTAGTTTATCTTACNAGCGAAAATGGATTGAACGGTAAACTAATAATTAAATTTATAGTTCAATTGTTTATTACTTTGTCTTTACGTTTGTGTCTTCTAAGTGTACATCGAAAGTTTTTATGAGAGAACCAATATGAGATCGTTGATAAAACTATAGACCGGTTTGAACAGCCAAGACGTTTACTTCTTAAGCAATTACAGCTGAAAACGATGCATACATTTTTAGTTTGTCTTACAAAATTGCAGAGGTATATTACAAAGTATACCAGAGGCTACCCAACTTATTTTTCTCGTAGACCCCTTTCAAAACTTTACTGGTTTCGGTTGCCCCCTGATGCTCATTTCTAACATATTCCTAAAGCTCATCACATAATGTGAAGATTAAATCTAACGATGTAATTTGGCATCGCGGGTGAGTTCCAAAACTAAATTCGATTTGTCCGATTAGGCCGATTTGTCTCATTGTCCGATTTGCCTCATATTCGAGATATAAATATATTGGTAACGGTAGGGAAATATCTACTATTGCACAAAAAAAGCTGCAAGGTGGCGCTGGAGCCGAGTTATTGGTAAAAATCGTCGAGTGAAGTCAATCGGAGACACCAAGGATCAAAGTTAAATTACCACCGTTAAATCAATCACCAGAACGACTGCGGTCCTTGCTTTACGGCGACTAAACAGAATAAAGACAATTCTTGATAAATGCCTACAAATACAATTGTAAACTTCTAAGGTATTTCATCTGAAATAAGTCTATGGCCCTTATTATGAGTTGCATCCGATTTTCGATCTTTGCTGGCTATCGAAGATCGAAAGTGACATTCGTATTATGAGCTATGCAAGCGTGTCGAAATTTTCGTTGAATATCGAATTTTCTGTCGAACAGAATTTTGCTTTCGTTGGTGTAGCGAAGTGTTAGAAAATTGTGAAAAATGTATGATTTTGCATTTGTTTTCTTACTTTTTGGAGGCTAAACACTTATTTTTTATTAATTTCATGCAGTTCTAACGTCGTGAATTCTAAACAAGTTCGAAAGGCTGGTTTTACTTATGAAAGAAAATCCCAATAAATACTCTGTTGGCACGGACTTTGAGAACAAGATCATAGAGCTGTTTATAGTTTTAATCATGATAAAAACATTACAAGGTAAATCCAGTCTCTCAATTCGTCGGCCATGATTTTTTTCTGACGTTTGGCAGCATTTTAAAATCATATAAAATTGAGAATAAAAAAATGAAATTGTTCACAATTGTTGTTGTTTGAGATTGAAAATGGGAATGTGTGTGTGAGTTTGAGTTTTGAATTTTAAAATTATATTGCTGGCAAACGTCAGACTGACTCTCAATGGTTTTACCTTTTTATGTTTTTATCATGGTTTTAATATGTTTTAAATAGATCTGGATGTTAAAATTTCTTAAATATATTGTATGTAAAAATATATTCGAAAGACTACATTTAAACTCTGCTCCTGGCTAGTTTTCTAAGCTCTCATCCTCTGACGAATCGTTGAACCAGAACTCTGTTGTACTAATTTTTACCACGTTTTTATAAATTCGCTTTCTTCTTTATTTCATTTTAATTTGCACAAATTTACATATGTACATTAGACTGCATCACTCCCCATACAAAAAAAATATCGGTACTGTTTTTCCATTGGAATTATAAAATCTATTATATTTTAAGACGTACACCAAAAT